TGCTAAACTCTATTTTCTTTAAGATTTTTTTCATTGTTATTATAAGCAGGCCAGGTGCACAATCTCTGCTTTGGAACCACAGCACTGAACGTTGTGTGCACTGCACAAAGTATACCTGCTGAAAAAAAGAATGCAACTGATTTTTGCATTTACTTAATCATATTTAGTTACTTTAACACAATTGTTTTATGTCCTACCTTACTAACATGAAACAATTGTGTTAAAGTAACTAAATATGATTAAGTAAATGCAAAGCACGGTTGCATTCTTTTTTTCAAGGAAGGACTCACCTTGGGTTTGTAAAAACTGCTAAATGGGACAATTGTAGCTTCATATGTAGTGCTTTTCCTTGGGTGAAATAAATGTTACTCCAATACTGAAATCATACTGTTTGTCATTCTCTAAGCTGAAATGTTGAATGACATGAAAAGGCGAGACAAGACGAAATATAATTATTCTCTAAGTTTCTTTTACATAGTGAGCAATATAAATGAGTCTGCTGGTGAATGGACAATATAAATAGGCTCTGCCTTTTTGGAAAAGCATGGTTATGACCTGTTCTCAGCTCAGGAACTACGTAAGACCCGTATGATCTGGTTGTTCAATAGGTTTGGCTAAATAAAAGATTTAGATATGACTTATCAAGTTATTCCTACAAAAAGGTCTGATGTTGCAGTAGCAGGCAATGAAAAGTGTTTGGAACATGCTCTTGTTCTGATGCCAGTTTGTTTCAGCCTTTATCCAGTCTCATGTAGAAGGGCTGGTCATATCACAGGTTATTTGCATTACAATAGGGACAGTTAGCAAGATAGAGTGAATACACAAACTTGAAGAAGGGAGGGGGGCTTGCAGGAAAACTGATTCTCTGGGACTTCTAGTGTTAATAGTCTCACTTTCTCTATCCATTGTAATGCTAATAATATTTTTCTAATAATTCTCCTGTATGATAATTCAATATTTAATGTGAAACATAAAATCCAATACCTAGCCTATTACTCACACTTTTAGATGCATCTGTATATATTTGAATATAACCATAGTAACTATTAGCATATTCCTCTATCAGTTTAAGATAAATATTGCCCTCCTTTTTGTTTTCTAACCATGTCAAATCCAATGTAGTATCAGGTATGATCCAGGGAGGGATTTCTTCTTCTTCTTGCGTTTGGAAAACAACTATATGGTGCATTGAATGTAAAGAAGTAAGAAACCTATGGGATCAACTTCAGATCTTTCTATCTTCTAGATCTATAAATGTGGACTTCCTTACAAACAATTCAGTTTGGTTTATATATTAATGAAAAAAGGTGGAATTCTTAGTTAATAATTTGATGATTATAACCAAACATTATATCCATAATGTCGTTGAGCAAAATGCCGCCTCTCATTCTCTGCTCTCAAAAACGAACTTTCCTCCTTTAACCGATGTCTGAAAAAGATGCAGAACCTTAAAGTAAATAAATTGTCTGATTTATTGGAAGAATTTCAGTTAGTCCCCTCTTCTTAATAATGTATTTATGTTTTTTTCTTTCTCTTCCTTATTCAAGCCTCTAATTTTTATTGGAGTTAATAGGAGTTGTGATCTTCTTTGTTTCTTGTAATGTTCATTGGCGTATTGTGGTAGCCTGACGTAGTCCGACTCAAGTCTAGGCAGAATATGAGTCTGATACGGCTCCATAGAGCTGTGATTAT